CGCGAGAGAAAGAGAAAAGCCTCCGTGGATGGCCGTGTCCAGTGCTGGTTTATCGGTGACGTCAACAAGTTTTCTCGAACACTTTCACCGCAGTCGTCGTCGTGTCGAACACGATAGTCGTCGTGCTGTCTCTTATACACATCTAGATGTGTATAAGAGACAGCGCCCCCCCCCCCGCGAGAGAAAGAGAAAAGCCTCTGTGGACGGCCGTGTCCAGTGCTGGTTTATCGGTGACGTCAACAAGTTTTCTCCAACACTTTCACCGCAGTCGTCGTCGTGTCGAACACGATGGTCGATACGGTCGTCGTCGTGTCAAACACGATGGTCGTCATGTTGAACACGATCGTTCTCGTGTCCGACACGCTGGTCGTCGTGTCAAACACGATGGTCGTCGTGTTGAACACATTCGTTGTCGTGTCCGACACGCTGGTCGTCGTGTCAAACACGATGGTTGTCGTGTTGAACACGATCGTTGTCGTGTCTGACACGATGGTTGTCGTGTCAAACACGATGGTCGTCGTGTTGAACACGATCGTTGTCGTGTCCGACACGGTGGTCGTCGTGTCTAACACGATGGTCGTCGTGTCCGACATGGTCATCGTCGTGTCGAACATGATGGTCGTCGTGTCGAACACAATCCTTATCGTGTCGAACACGCTGGTTGTTGTATCGAACACGATCGTTGTCGGGTCGAACACGATCTCCATCGTGTCGAACACGGCCGTCGTCGTGTCGAACACGCTCGTCGTCGTGTCCGGCTCGTTGTCGTGCACGCCCGTCGTCGTGACCGACGTCGTGTCGTACACGACCGTCGTATTGTCGAACACTACCACCATCGTATTGAGGACAACCGTCTTCGTGTCCGACACGATCGTCGACGTGTCAGACACGGTGGCCGTCGTGCTGAGCACGGTGGTCTTCGTGTCCGCCATGGTCAAACGCGGTCTTGGTCGTGTCAAACGCCATCACGGTCGTGTCGAAAACCCTGGTCTTTTTCGCCACGACCCCCACCTATGTTTCGACTTGTTCAGAGTTTAGTGCGAGTTGCGCCAGCAGAACATAGTGCCCGGGTGACTGTCTTTTGTCTCTTGTTGCACTGACTGCTTGTTGCGAGATTGCGCCACGACCCCCACCTTGTAATATACAATGGAGCTCCTGTCGTGTTGGGCGCGACATTGGCGTTGCTGCAATCGTTTGCCTTCTTAGCCTGGCTATCTGGAAACCCGTCGTGCGCCGTGGAACGAACTCTGCGCGAATTTTGCTTCGAATCCTCGGAGTCTGGTACCCGGGAATCATGACGGGGGACCCTTCCGTGTTGGGCGAGGCGATCGCGTTGCCACGATGGTTTTCCTGTTCACTCGTGGCAGTTTTCCTGCCCGCTCTTCCTGGGTGGTGAGTACCACGCGTGCCGGGAATCAAGATGGGGGACCCTTCCGTGTTGGGCGAGGACGTCGCTTTGCCACGATGGTACGGTCTCGTGGCTGCGATGGTATTCCTGATTACTCGTGGCAGTTTTCTTGCCCGCTCTGTTACCAAGCGTGTCCAATAGATGCAGTTTCTGGAGTAATATGGAATCTTTCCTATCAATGCCCTCGTGCCAAGCTGTGTGCTGCACGCGAGAGTCTTCGTCGTTCCGCTGTTGGTGCCCGATGGGTTTTGCACGCCGTGGTCTCCGCCTTTCCAAAGCTGGTGCCCGACGTGACATGTGCTGCGTTTCCTGTTGCGCGTCAAGATCTCCGCCTTTTCAATATTGTTGCACGCTGTGTTTCCGGTTGCTGGTGCCCCGACTCGACATTAGCTACGCTTCCCACTGTCGTTCGATCTCCGACTTGGACAGACTCTTTCGCGTATATTGCACCTTTGGCACGGATTGGGCCTGAGGACTGGATTGCTGCCCAGATTCCACGGTCGTGTGTTATCCTCTTTCGGATGTTTCCTGATCCCCTCCGTCCAGTGTAGGGCTGTGTTTCTCAGGGTCATTTATAGGGCTGTGTTTCTCGATGTTGTGTAGGGATGGTTGTCTGCTCCATTTCATTTGACAGTGGTCCACTGTTTTGTTGTCGCAGACACGTCTCGTGCATGGCTTGTGGTGTGCATGCTATGCCACGGCAGGCTTGCAGCACAACCTTCGAACGCATGGACTGTGTGGCGTCTAATACAATGCTCAATGAGGATTTTCCTCCACCGCACCTGCCAATGTGTTCACAAGATGTTCGAAGTGGTCACGAACATGTCGATAATGCTCCGGAATCTCCTGCTCGTAAGAGGTCACGAAATATTGTGTGTGCGGACACTACATGTGAAAGTGTGTATCCCGTCCTTCGATGCCCGGTTCGAACCTGTGATGCAGAGAGTGGTGAAGGTCAAGAGGGTGAGGCCTCCTCGACTGACAACGACGCATCCGATGTAGATCGTGTTGTATGGGTGCCAAGGAGTTCACTTCGAGATTTCGAGTACACAGGTCCTCTGTTTGGTGAGAGTGGTGAAGGTGGTTCAGATTCAAGTGCTTCGGTGTCGTTTAGTGCTGATAGTTCTCCAGATAAAACCGATCTTCCGCAAACGTACGCTGACCGGAACAGTGACCACTGTTGTCGAAATGACTGTGACGTGATCTCTGATTTCGATGACATTTTTTCAAAACGTCTGTCCTTAGAGAAGCGTCCTTATACTTTTCGTCTCTAAATGCCGCGGTCAAAGAAGATTCTGCAATCTGTTCATAGAAAACTCATTAAAAAAACACTGGCAAGTGTGTGTGGGCAGGTTTGCTGTAAGCGAGAGTATTGCGCTCAAATGACCCTGGACGACATCAAAGCTGTCTGGAGCGGATACTAGTCTAAGAACCAGCAGAGCAGGGATGCGTGGTGGGTTGAAACGTTGAAGAGGTTCACCTTCATAGAAGATGAAAATGAGATTGTTCAACCTATTGTGGGGAGATGAATGGCGTGCATTAGTGCTTGGTGTTTCACACTGGGTGTATGTAGGAATACATTTCTCAAAAAAAGGATGACTTTGTCAAAAGGCTACAATATGTCGGAGCACGGCAGTAACGGACTCAAACGCACATCAACAACATATGCGACGATGTACGGGAAACTAAGCTCCTTCGTGCGAGACAACGGCGATTCCATGCCCAATGACATGAAGATCAAACAGGGGGAATCAAGAGTCGTGTTGAGATTGCCTGCTTGCTATAACAAGGTTGATATTTATAAGTTGTTAAAGTCGCAATTCGACAACATGGGTGCTCCTTGTGTTTCTCATCAAGTTTTTAACAACATGTGGAGAACGCAGTTCTGGCATGTGAAATTTCATGACATTGATCAAAACTTTGCGAAATGCGAGAAATGTGTTGAATACAAAGAATCTATCAATTCCGCAAAGCTCGTGCGTGTGCGTGAGTACTTTGTTTTGTTACGCGAGAAACACTTGGACATGCAGCTCCAACATCGTGTTGCGTATGAGGTGTGGAAGGATGAGTCGAAGAGACCGGGTTCCAACCATTTCTGCATCATCATTGACGGCCAGCATTCCACACTTTGGCGGAGAGAACAAATCGAAGGCATTCGCAAATATTCCAATGTTGAAAACCAATCTAACAACTATTATTGCACACGACCGCTCACCATCAGTCCATGTTCACACATGGTACCCTTGCTATCCACATGATTCTAATGTTGTAGTGTCATTCATTATGAAAGTTCTCCGCGACATCCAGGCGACGAGTGACTTGCCTCCTAAACTGAGGATACAAGCTGACAACTGTTGGAGAGAAAACAAAAACAGATACGTTTTGGCACTCACTGCAACTTTGGTGAAATTTGGCTTCTTCAAAGAAATCGAATTCGGTTTTATGTTAGTGGGACACACACATACGGACGTTGATGCCACTTTCAGTCATTTCTCTCGCAAACTAAAAATGCACGATGCATATACCATGCTCGACCTCTTCAAGGTCGTTGCCAGTTCTCAAAAAGAACGTCTATCGTGCACATTCATGGATGAAATTGTTGATTGGTGAGCTGCTGTTTAGCCCTTCCTAGTCAAGAGACTGACCGGTCATACTCGTCCACATGCATTTAGGTTTTATATGGAGGATGCCAATCTTGTATTCCAGTGGAAAGAGTATTGCACTTCTCCCGAATATTCTGCTCCAGTCTATTGCTTTAAACGAGATGGAAACAAAGCATATACTAGGTCCGAATGGCCATTCGTGCCATCACCTGTTCCGCCGTCAGCTTCTCAGCCTACTAAAGATAGGAATGCGGATTTTGAATCGGGAATTGAAGGTGAGAAGACGTTTGTTGGGTGGTTTGAGAACAAGCGGCACGAGTGGTTGGGAATGAAAGATGAAGTTAGCTTCTAAAAGGAGAGTGCTCTTTCACACTGGAAAACTTTCCTCGAGACAATCGAGGAGCATAACGGGTCAGGGTTTGCGAAAACTTCACTCAAGGCTGGCTTCTAGCCCTCACAAGACAAAATTAAGAAGGATGATCCAGATGATATTGATATTGTCTTCCTCTTGAAGAGTAATGAGAATAAGGAGCTGTTGTTCATTGGACTGGTCAATGAGCGTCCAAAGGCGGAGCTTAACCCAGTTGTGGATGTCGAAAAAGGTCAATTCGTTCTCTTCCGTCTTTTCCAAGATGATATCGATGAGGAAGTTTCGGTATGGATGGGTAGAGTCATTTCAGATGTAGACAACGATATGATGTCGTCAACTTTAAATCATATTCTTATTCAATATTGGGTGCCACAACCTATTGCTAAACGTCTTTCTGTGCAATATTTGAACGCATGAAAGAAGACGTGGAAGAAAGACAACACAACATCACAGTTGTGGCAACATGAAGACTGTGTTGTGTGGCGCTGGACATCAAAGACATTGCATTTAGAAAATGGATCGCACATTCCAAAATCGACCATAAAGAAGGCCTTGGTATGCCTTTCACTTCCCGATAATGAAGATCAGTAGGTTTTCAATAGGTTTTGAAGAAGAGCTAATCGTATTTCTTTACACGTATTAGTACGTTATTTAGTTGTCATTGAGCTTTCATTTATGTATATTTAAATTGTATTTTCATGTATTGTAGAATGGTTCAACCATTTGTGACGACTGGATGGCCGCCAAGTAACATGGCGTGGAGAAGAAGTATATGGCATGATATGGGTCCAGTTTTCTTCACATCTGAAGTGATCTTTGACAGTGCAGTACTCAGTGTTAGAGGTGTGGATGCCCCACCGGAAGATAGGGAACATTCTCCTCGAGACTCACTGTATATTTGTGATCGGAGGTGTTGTGGAACGAGAACATACCCGCGAGAAGTGCTCGCACCCTTTTCAGAATTGTATTATTCAACAGTCAAATTTTGCAACAACAATTTCAAAGTGATGACCTTGTTTTGTGCAGCGACAACTGTGCGAGGTCGGTGCAAAGTATCTTTCCTTATTTATAATGACTATTCTATAAGTGCAAGTGTTTCCAATGCAGACAACATCGATGAACAACGACGGCAAGAATTCCGAAGGAGGATCATGGAGCAACCATCACTCAAAACACTCATTGATGGGCTTGTGGACACGACCATCAAATATTTGCGAAGTCTCCTGCTGCGCGAATATGAAGTAATAGAAAGTTATATAGAGTACAAGGACCCGGCGTTTGACGGACAAACTGATACCATCATTGTAGAAGATTTGACAACTTATATAAGGACAGACTGAAATGTTGTCTTGATCGCATTAGTTTATCCTTGTAGTCGATCTAGTTACTAGGCTTGTTTTGCCTATTTTCGGAGTGTCATTTGTGCTTTGCATTTAATTTTTTTTTCCCTCTTACTCGGTCAATGGCCTTGAGACTTCATCTAAGTTCGAATAGCCCAGTCCTGCATTAATATAGAGTTATTTGGTTATAGTTCAGCGAGATTCGAAGTAAGGTTTGTGTTTTGACAGTTTATGGGTGACACTGCTTTCAAATTGCTTTTAATGTAGAACTTTTGCACATGTT